TAAATAAATAAATAAAATTTCAATTCCATTTGGGCAAATATTTTCATTAAACTGTTTCCCTTTATGGCATAATAGCATGTACCCCTGACTGCTGCTAGAATCGCGTAGACAATTTCCTAGAGATTCTTATTTAATTGACTTGACATGGTGTTCCATCCTGGATTTGTTCTTGTTAATTTGTAAATTAAGTGATTCTAATATGCAGGCAAGATTGAGACTTACTGCACACATTACTGACTTTTCTTTCTACTTATTTTCATTTATTGTTATGTTCTTTTAACATGAAGACTACCTAACCAGCAACAGAATATTTAAGTGTTTTATTTCTGACAGTGAAATGCTGTGCAGTCATGTGTCAAATGAGAGGGATATGTTCTAAGAAATGTAGTGGTGGCAATTTCATCATTGTATGGATGTCACAGGATGTACTTATATTAGGTTGGTGCAAAAGTAATTGTGGTTTTTGGACCATGAATTTTAAATCATTCTAACTAGGTTCAAACACATTTTTGTTAATCAAGATAGGAACCACTACGATAAAAATATTGCTGCTGAGAAATAAGTTTATTTATTCCTGTAGTGTAAAAATCCCTGCTTTGCAATTCAGTGAACTCTTGGAAAGCATTTTCTGCATCTTTCTGGTTGTGGAAGCATTTTCCCTGCCAGAAGTTGTCAAGAGGCTTGAAGAAGTGGTTGTTGATTGGCAAAAGATCAGGTCAATATGGCAGACAAGGCCAAAAGTCGTAGGCCCTAAAGTCATGCACGGTGTAGTCTAGCATTTTTGTGGAGAAGAACTGGGTCCTTCCCATTGACCATGGCCAGCTGCAGGCATTGCAGTTTTCAGTGCATCTCATCAATTTTCTGAACAGACTTCTCAGATATAATGGTTTTGCTGGATTCAGAAAGCTGTAATGGAACAGACCAGCAGCAGACCACCAGACAGGGACCATGACCATTTTTTGGTGCCAGTCTGGCTGTGGGAAGAGCTTTGAAGGTTCTTCTATGACCAACCACTGAGCTGGTTGTTGTCAGTTGTCATATGAAATCCACTTTTCGTGGCATGTCACAATCTGAGTGAGAAAAGATTCATTGTTGTTACACAGAATAAGAGAAAAGACTACACCTGAAGATGATGATTGCTCTGATTTTTCTTGCAGCTTTTTTTTTCTTTTGGCCAGGGCTGGGTTTGAACCTGCCACCTCCGGCCTATGGGGCCACCCCCCTACTCCTTGAGCCACAGGCGCTGCACAATTGCTCTGATTTTTGGTCAGCTTATGAGGCACCCACTTATGGAGCTTTTCCACCTTCCAGTTTGCGTCAAATGCTGAACGACTGTAGAATGAGTCCATGTGGAGCTCTTTGGCAGCTTCTTCTGCAGTTGTCAGAGGATCAGCTTTGATGACTGCTCTCAGTTGGTCGTTGTTAACTACACTCCTCATCTTCAAGGCTCTTGTCTCCTTTACAAAACTTCTTGAATCACCACTGTACTTTATATTAGCAGTACCTGGGTCAAATGCACTGCTGATGTTTTGAGTTGTCTCCACTGCTTTACAACCCATTTTGAAGTCGAACAAGAAAATCGCTCCAGCCGGGCACAGTGTCTCACGCCTGTAATCCTAGTACTCTGGGAGGCCAAGGCGGACAGATTGCCTGAGCTCACGATTTCAAGACCAACCTGAGCAAGAGTGAGACCCCATCTTTTAAAAAATAGCCTGGCCTCAGGCGGCGCCCAGTGGGTGGGGCACTGGCCCCATATACTGAGGGTAACGGGTTTGAGCTTAGCCTGGCCAAACTGCAACAAAAAATAGTTGGGCATTGTGGCGGGCACCTGTGGTAGCCGCCCTACTTGGGAGGCTGAGGCAAGAGAATCACTTGAGCCCAAGTATTTGAGGTTGCTGTGATCTGTGATGCCACCACGGCCCTCTACAAAGGGTGACACAGTTAGACTCTGTCTCAAAAAAGAAAAGGAATTTGCTCGAATTTGCTTTTTGTCTGCCATCATTAACATAGTCCAAAGTAGATATAAAACAAACAACAAGTAATAAGTCATTGGCAAAAACACCTAAAGCAAGAAGTGCACATTAAAACGATGTGTAACATAACCACATTTATTTAAGAATGTTTTCAAGTATGAACAATACAAAAACCATACTTTACTTTCATACCAACCTGATACAAACCTAGATCCTATAGCCTGCTACACACTTAGGCTACATGGCCTAGGCTGTGGCTCCTATACCATAAACTTTTGCAACATGTACTAAATACTGCAGGAAACTGCCACACCACAGTAAGTATTTGTATGTCTAAACATAGTAAAAGATAAAAGACAAAAAGTTGTCTACCTGTATAGGGCACTTACCATGACTGGACTGGAAGTTGCTGTGGATGAGTCAGTGAGTGAGTGGTGAGTGAACGGGAAGGCTTATGACGTCAAAGAACACGGCTACCGGCTTTATAAACACTGTACACTTAGGCTACATGAAATGTATAAAACTTTTTTTTCTTTCTTCAACAGTAAATTATTTTTAGCTTATTGTAATGTTTTTCCTTTATAAACTTTTAAATGTTTTAAACATTTTGGCTCTTGTAATAGCACTTAGCTTAAAACACAAACACATTGTACAGCTGGACAAAAGTATTTTTCTTGCTTATGTTCTTATTCTACAAGCTTTTTTCTATTTTTAATGTTTTTTAATTTTTTTACTTTTAACCTTTTTTTGTTAAAAATGAAGACACAAACCCACCTATGCTTACACAGGGTCAGGTTCATCAATGTCACTGTCTTCCACCTCCACATACTGTCCCCCCACAGGAGCTGTCATCTCCTGTGATGACAAGGCCTTCCTCTGGAATAATCCCCGAAGGACCTGCCTGAGGATGTTTTATGGTAACTTTTTTTTTTTACAAGTAGAAGGAGTACATTCTAAAATAAAAAGTATAATAAATACATAAACCAATAACAGGCATTTATCATCAAGTATTATGTACTCTACACATACATAACTGTATATGCTACATTTCTATATGACTGGTGGTGCAGTGGGTTTAACTACACATTACAACAGCTCTGATGTCCCTAGGTGAAAGGAATTTTTCAGCTTCAGTATAATTTTATGAGACCATTGTCATACATATGATCCATTTTGAGTAAAATGTTATGTAGTGCATGACTTTTTTTGCATAGGTTCTTCTGTTATTGGATTAATTCTTAAACCTGTAATATATTTAGACTTTTCATACCAAAATGAATCTAATCATCTGAATTCTGGAATTTATTGTATCTTTAATAGCTCTGTGTATATAACTGTATGTATGTGTGTAATACTCAGAAAAGGGTTCTTAGAATTACCAAACTCAAAAGGGGTCCAGCCTAGGTCTTGTTATTTGCTGCACAGGGAGCCAATTTTTGAAACACTGAGAAGTCCTAAGGAAGAATTCAACTTCTTTAATACAAAAGACAAAAGATATCTGTCAGGAACACAGAAGCAGTAGCCTCGACTCTGTCTCCTGGAGAGGCTATGTGCAGGTCGTGGAGGATGAATGGGTCAGGAGGTTGCCCAGGGGCCTTTGTCCTGCAGAAGTTTGCCATTTCTGGGAAATAACTCAAAAAGGTCAAATAGTAGGCTGGGCACGGTGGCTCACACCTGTAATCCCTGCACTCTGGGAGGTAGAGGTGGGTAGATAGCTTGAGCTCACGGGTTGGAGACAAGCCTGAGCAAAAAGTGAGACCCCATCTCTACTAAAAATAGAAAAACCGAGGCAAGAGAATCGCTTGAGCCCAAGAGTAGGAGGTTGCTGCAAGCTGTGATCCCATGGCACTCTACCCAGGGCAACAGCTTGAGACTCTGTATCAAAAAAATAAATAAATAAAAACAAAAACAAAAAACAAATGGTTAAGGGGGGGATTATAAAAAAAATTGTTGACAGAGCTGGTTACATTATTACCAGGCCGGTGGGATTGCCTGTGGTTGTTCCTGCTCACAGACATAAGAGTGCCATAGCATTAATACTGGCTAGCCAGTGGAGATATTTTTCAATTACTGATTGTTTATGTGCTGGTACCTGAAGGCCGATGAACAGAACAGTTTCTCTATTACGAGCCATTAAGAACTGGCAGTGATTATAAAAAACAACGACTGTTTTAACTCTCATTTCCTTGTCTGCTTCAGGGGTTGGAATAGCTGAGGGAATGAATTCTGAGCATGTGTTAGTAGAGTGTAGATGTTAAATTCATTGAACCTGGGATATTTGGGGATCTCAGCAGCCACAGAGAACAAGAAGATTGGTTGATGGAGTCCATGATTCGGCCTGCCTGTGAAGGAGGTCGTAGTATCCTTTAGCCATTTGCATTAGGCCTAATTTTTGTACAGTTTCCAACTGACATCAATTTACATAGATTTATACTGTGAAGCAGTGATTTTCAACCAGCGTGCAGTGGTGCACTGGTATGCCATGAAAATTTTTAAAGATTGTTAATTAAGTTATTTTCAAAAGAAGTTCAAAGCACAGTAAGTATGTTCTCCTCTTTGTCCTCCCCTTTTTTTTTTTGAGACAGAGCCTCAAGCTGTCCCCCTGGGTAGAGTGCCATGGCTTCACTGCTCACAGCAATCTCCAACTCCTGGGCTCAAGTGAGTCTCCTGCTTCAACCTCCCAAGTAGCTAGGACCACAGGCGCCCGCCACAACTCCTGGCTATTTTTTGGTTGCAGCCGTTATTGTTGTTTGGTGGGCCCGGGCTGGGGATTCGAACCCACCACCTTAGGTGTATGTGGCTGGGGCCTTAACCACTTGAGCCACAGGCGCCAAGCCTGTACTCCCTTTTAAATCAATGTAATTGAAATATACTGCAGAAATTTAACTATAGGTTCAAGTGTGCCGTGATATAAAAAATGATGAAAAATACCAAGCATTATACATACTACTGATTTTGAGAAAGAAAAAGTAATTTTTATATAATGCAATAATGAGAAATAATTCAAGAAATAAGGTATTTGAAAAGGAATTCTTCTTTATTGATGGGCATATTTTATTAACAAGGACCATTTCTCTGTAGCCAGTGGAAGGAACCAGATCACTTTGGGAACATGCTGCTAAAAGCCAGTCAGCTCATCGTCCTTGGATTTGTCAGTCTGGAAATCAGTAAGCGTCAACTCCTGATTTTGATAAGGAAGACTTCGGAATACTTTCACGTGAACATAACAATCATCGTCTACTCGTATCTGAAGGGTATTTCAAAAAAGAAGATGAAAAAGATTCAATCAGAAAGGCCAACATCAAGTGAAAGATCTACAGGGCTGTCGAGATGTCAGTGCAGTAAGTCCTTGGGATATAGCCTTGCTAGATCAGCCTACTGTTCTTAGACTAGCTGCTCCTATATACCTGCCAAAATATTTTATGAAACAAAGGGCAGACTAACAACATGGCAGCAGGCATAAGTCCTAAGTTTATTTTGTTGTTCTTTTTTAAATGTTATAATCTGGGCACAAATGATAGCCTAGAATTACTTTTTATTTGCCAAGACGCAGCAAGCAAGAAAACAAGTGACAGCCTGTATTTTTGGTGATGCTGTTTTCTGACTCCCAAATCGTGACACTTTGCTTGCCATACAGTTTGATAAGGAAGAAGATCAGATTGCCCTAGAAAATTTGGAATGCAGGGTTCCCATCCCTATATTGGAACCCACTTTATAAGTGTCCACTGGTAGGACCGAGCAGGGCCCAGGGGGAAGACAGCCTCCCTTCTAAAGTAAAGGGGTCTTTCTAGGAAGTCATTGGTATGAAGGGTGAGACAGTAGTTTGGATATGAATCTAGGATCCGTAAACTCATGGTAAGAATTTTTACTTTTGTTCTTGGCTGAGACAATAGAAGTTTAGCCTTATAATAATATTTATTGTGTTCTGATCTCACTTCCTACCCTAATTTTAAAATTGCCGTTTGTCAAATGTTTACTATGAGCCATACACTACGATGAGTATCTCAGATATATGATTATAGTTACTTATTATTAAAGACCTGAAGAAAGTCAGAACAATGTCAGTTTTACAGATATAAAAGATTAGCAAGAAAGATTAAGAGGTTTTTCATAAATCTCTCAGCTAGTTAAGTGACAGAGCCAATATTTAAGCCCAGATTTCTTAGGCTCCAACATCTATGCTCTTTTTACTCTATGTTGTAACCTTTTTTTTTTTTTTAAGATGAAGTTGCCCTCGATAGTGCTATGGCATCACAGCTCACAGCAACCTCAAACTCTTGAGCTTAAGTGATTCTCTTGCCTCAGCCTCCCAAGTAGCTGAGACTACAGGCACCCACCACAATGCCCAGCTATTTTTTGATTGCAGTTGTTATTGTTGTTTAGCAGGCCCAGGCCAGGCTTGAACCTGCCAACCTCGGTGTATGTGTCTGGAGCCCTACTCACTGAGCTACGGGAGCCAAGCCTATGTTGTAACCTTTTAAAAGCACTTGCTGTGCTTCAAAAGAAGTTCAGGGCATCGATACCTTGGCAAACATCACTGGAGGCAGCACAGCCAATAGGTAAGCATCAGACTACCTGGGTTCAAATCCTGACTCTGCTCTTATTGAGCCCACCCTGGGGCTCAATATTCTCATCAGTAACACAAGAGAAGTGATTATACGTATCTCGTATATTTGTTGTGATTACTAAATGAGATGATCCGTGCCTACCTGTTAGAATAGTAGCTGACACAGTGTAAGTGCTCAGTAAATTCCTGCCTTGATTATACCTCACAAAACCCTGAAAAGTAGGTTGTTACCCCACTGTGCAGATGAGGGGAAGAAGGCTCAGAGAGAAAGAGGAGGGAGCTTCAATCACACAGGTTTCAACAAGGGTCTAAAACCAGGATGGTCTGACACCAAAGCCTATGGTCCTTCCCTTTTACCATTCTGATTCAGATATGTGGCGAGTGTCACATTACCAGCAAGACCTTAAATCAAGAGAGTGGCCCAGAGCAAAGGGATCAACACCCAGACTGCCAAGAAGTAAGGAGGAAACTGGGGTCAGTGGCTGTCATCCTGTGGGAGAAGTTTGATAGCAGAAGGATCAAAAGACTGAGAGAAAGAGAGAGGAAGGACTGGGGTTAAGAGAGGGCAAAAGGATGGTCAAGGGGAGAAATTTTCAAGAAGAAATTTTTGAGATAGTTTTTCATAAGCTTTTTAAGAAATGTGTGAGCTGGTCAATATGTGAATCCTATGCATCTGGATTAATCATAAGTTGTTATAATAATGATCCAAATTTTGATGGATTATTTTCTGTCTTTGAACAAAGTCATTTTTAACTGGAAAACTTTCTTTTCAGGCCCTGAGGAAAGCAGATTGAGAATGGAGGAGACAATGCCATTGTTTTTTAAGGATACAGTGGAGTCTCATTTGAATGCATCTCCATAGGCCTGGGCTATACTAGGAACTCAAATTTGGTAGGACTGGGTTGATTCACCTATACAATCTAGTAACGTAACCTTTCTGTGCTGAGCTGGCTATATCCATTTATTTGATTTCTTTGCTGTAAACATTTATTTATTATATATTTTAAGTGGTTAATTATTTATTAAAGAGAAATAAGCCACACTGTGCCAAGGCTGATGATTAAGTAAAGATTAAGTAAATATACTTGAGTATTTATTATTTTTAAAATCAGAATTCTCACTTTCTTAATACATAAGGATGAAAATGGCCCCCAAATATCCATGGTTGATTTGAATTGGTTGCCTCTCAACAATTTCATTTAGAACTAAATCAGTGCATCATTTAATTTTTTGACATAGCTATAAAACTAAATTTTAAAATATTTTTAAAGTTTCCTTTGCTTTAAACTATACCAAGAGGGCCACAAGTTGAATCTACTAATTCAAGTTGCAAAAAATAATTATTTAAATTGTATTAATTAAAAGGCTTATATAAAGGGCAAAAATAGTTTATTTTCCCAGCTAATGAGTCAAGTTATTTCTTAAATACACTTAATTCAGACATGTAGAATCATTCAGTTTTAAAGTGGATTATGCTTCAAGATACCATCTGGTCCCACCCTAC